TTGCAGAACTAACTTTTTTTCTAGCTAATTAGATTTCAAAAGACAGGAATCCAAAGTCCAGTAAATTAAGAAGTGTCATCTGTCAGGATCTAGGAAATGTGTCTAAAAATGTGAATTGATTCATTATCTACCTCTAATAATGTAGGTTCTTCAAATTACAGAAAACATCATTCAGGTTCCATGACTTATTCCAATTTCATAAACTATAAAAATATAACTATTTTTTAGGCAGCGATAGTCTTCTTACATACTTTATGTAGAGATTTTAAGCAATGCTTCATGGAAAAAGCTGCTAGTAAGAAATGTTATTGAAAAGTGAAAGTATAGAATATTGAAAAACTATATTGTGTGGTCTTTTTTCTGTTTACTCAGATACAGAAAAATGCACCAAGTGTCCAGATGAAAAATATCCAAATGAGTACGGAATCCAATGTATCCCCAAAGTTATATCCTTCCTTTCTTATGAAGAACATCTAGGAATCATTCTGTCCTCTTTTGCTCTAATCTTGTTCTTAGCCACAGGCCTTGTTTTAATCATATTCATTAAACATCTAGAAACTCCTATTGTGAAAGCCAACAACCGAGACCTCTCTTACATCCTCCTGGTCTCCCTCCTGCTTTGCTTCTTGTCTCCTTTTCTCTTCATTGGGCAACCAAGGAAAGCCACTTGCCTTCTCCGACAAACAGTTTTCAGCATTGTCTTCTCAGTTGCTGTTTCTTCTCTCTTGGCCAAAACCATCACAGTAGTGCTGGCTTTCCTGGCCACAAAACCAGGAAACCGATTGAAGAGATGGTTGGGGAAGAGCTTGGCCAACTCCATCATCCTTTCATGTTCTAGTGTCCAGATTATTATTTGCTCCATTTGGCTTGGAGTTTCTCCCCCATTCTGTGACTCAGATTTTTATTCCCAGCCTAGAGAGATCATCCTGCAATGCAATGAAGGCTCTGTTTTCATGTTCTACATCACCCTCAGCTACATGGGCTTTCTGGCTGCCATCTGCTTCACAGTGGCTTTCTTGGCCCGGAATCTCCCTGGAGCCTTCAATGAAGCCAAACTGATTACCTTCAGCATGCTGGTCTTCTGCAATGTGTGGGTCTCCTTCCTGCCCACCTACCTGAGCACCAAGGGAAAATATATGGTGGCTGTGCAGGTCTTCTCCATCTTGGCCTCCAGTGCTGGTCTGCTGGTCTGTATCTTTATCCCCAAGTGCTACATTATCATTCTGAAGCCAGACTTGAATACAAAGGAGCATCTTACAACCAGAAGAAATGTATAGTGTGAGTTAGAGGAATTTCTACTCTCAAAACATTCCAACAGGCCAAGCATTTTTTTTTTTCAAATTGTCCCACATACATGAGCTGGGGCAACAATTTGGAGCTGAAATAATCAAAGAGCAATTTGAACATAGTGTCCTCCATCCTTATTCAGTAAAATTTCAAGATGTGTATAATCTGGATTATCCATCTGGTCAAAGTATGTAGAAATAAAATAAGAGGGGAACTGAAATATAGCCCTATAAGAGTTTTACAAAACAATCCCTAAAGGAGATTATCCATATTTTAGTGTCCTATAAATCTGTAAGGGAGAGAGGTGGGATTGGGCATAAATACTTCTTACTAAATTGCAACAATTCATCCATCTCATTCCTCTCGTGATAGACACTTCCGAGTTATTTAGAAGGGAATTTGGAGGTCTTCTAGTCCAATCCCCTGCTCAGACAGGAAACCATTTCAGACCAATGGATGTCCAATCTCTTTTTAAAAACCTCCAGTGTCAGAGCACCCACAATTGCTGGAAGTTGTTCCACTAATAGATTATTCTGTCATGAAATTTCTCCTTAATTCTAGGTTGCTTCTCTTCTTGATTACTTTCCATTCCTTGTGTGTTCGGTTTTGGCGATAGTTCAACAGCAGAATAATCAGAGATGCCATAGAGATAGAAAAACGCCCACACAGCATGAACAAACGAGATGACACCTCCCGCCTTCCAGCCATTTGGAAACCCGCCCTCGGGAACAGACGAGTACCTAACATGAAGAATGACACCAGACCCACACCCATGAGAGCCACACAAGATGCCACCACCACACTTCCATGTAGAAAGCAGACTCACACCCACTCAGAAGATGAGACACGACCATGGACCAGAAGCTGCACTGTAGCTGCATCACTACTCACTTCAAACCCCTCCGAGCCATACATGAAGCAAACCGACACCCACTATGAAGATGCAGCATGACCACGAACTCGAAGCCAAACAGCAAGATCACAGCTCACCAACTCAAATCCCCCAGCAACTAAGACTAACCTGAGCACAACCAAGCCCCCACCTGAACAGAACACGCCTCCAACCAATCAGAACATGGCCAACCCCCCAACCAATCAGAACACAGCCAAACCCGCTACCAATGAGAACACACCCCCACCCAATCAGAACACAGCCAAGCCCCCACCCAATCAAGTCCCACCCCCACTAGCAGTTAAAAGGAAGAAGCAGCTGCAATCTCACATCACTCTGAGAAGCAAGAGCCGAAGACAGAAGCCTGAAGATGATGAATGAGACTTCATCGAAACATTGCCTAGATACTTCGAATCTTACGCGGGAGAAAACCCGAACAACCAAAGATATATATATGGTCAATATCCGTTCTGCCTGCCTGCCTTTGTTTCTGGTTGTTTCGGAGCAGCTTCGGCTGAGTAAAAGAGGCGAATAGTTATTATTCTCAGCCAAAGCTACTCCGAAACAACCAGAAACGAAGGCAGGCAGGCAGAACGGAGCACTGGATTGAACCGCGGGCGGCGGGGTGGGGGTGAATGGGTGCTTCGGAGGAGCTGCGCCGACAGGAAAAGCCACTCTGCCAGCTTCTTTGAAGCAGTTTCTTCCTGGGCTGGTGGAGGACCGAGAGAGCGACTGAGAGAGGAACGAGGCGGGAGGAAACCGAAGCCTCTGAGCCGGAGAGCAGGACAGGCTTTGGTTGCTTCCTCCCTCCCCTTCTTTCATTTGTGTCCTTGATCCCTGATCCCAGCAGCATTCACCGAAGGCGAAGAAAGCCGCCATTTTTATTTTATTTTTATTTTCTTTGCGGCCCGGTACCAAATGATCCATGGACCGGTACCGGTCTGCGGACCGGTGGTTGGGGACCCCTGCTCTAGATAGCCTGGATAATATTCCCCTCAAAGCCCTAGCTAGATGTTCTGGTGACCTCTCCCTAACCTATAAGGACCAGGTCATCCCAAATATGGCAGCTTCATGACTATCAGCTGACCTAGTGAAGGTGCGGAATATATTGCTTTTTCACTCCACTTATCACCACGAGATAATCTCCAGCATGGGCTCTTACAAATATTCACTCAGATTCCCTTCAGTTTTACTAAGATACGGCAGAAAACATCAGGGGTGGGACTCCTTACACATCAATCTGGCATTCAAAAGCAACAACCAAAACGCAGAGCCACCAAAGATCTCTTAGTCAGGCACTGAAACTAGAGTCCTTAGGGCCATACAGTGGGACAACCTTTGAGTAGCAGATCAGATATCACCAAATATAGCCAAACATCTACTGATCCCTACCAGGATACCTCTTCCTTCAGCTCCCCTCTTTAATTCAAACCTCAAGTTAACATGTACAGGCCAAGAAACATTATCCTCCCAAATGGATACATCAAGAATTTGGGGACTGACAACCACACCTTCCAACCTCTTGGCAATATTTTGGGAAGCGTTACACATAGTCTCTGAGATGGGAAAGTCAAAATGGGCCCTCTCCATGAGCTGTTTACAAAAAAAAGAAGATGGACGTCCAAATTCCTCCCCAAAACCAGTTTCTGGGTGGGTGTGGCAAGAATTCAAGTTGCAACACCTATCATGCTATGGGCACTGCCACAGTCTCAGCTGCAGACCCCACTAGCTGAAGGTTTATTTGATAAATAAGAACCTTCAAAGTATAAAGATCCCTAGTGGCTTATGTAGATGTGAAAGGACAACACAGAAAGTGTCAAGATAAAGAAAAATTTCTATCCACTCTACGACTGTCTCCCTATATACCTAGGTTGTCAGTTTTCTGCTTGATGGTTGACTCTTTTCCAACAATTGACATTTCTAAATCTGATGGGCAATGAAATTTTACTTCAGGCACAAAGAATTTTAAAGGCAGCTGTCAGCTGGTACTCCATTCAAAATCCAAGAAAGAAATACTTAAACTCTTTTAATTAGAGAAAAGATGTATTTTACTGGAAATGAAGTGGTAGCAACAAGAGGATTCTGAATCTGAGGAAATAGGCACGTAAATCACATATACAAATTGATGGAAATGTTCCCACCCCCAATAGTTCAAATGGTTCTTCCAATTAAAAGTTGTGAATATCATCATGTGGGCATCTTCTGGTGGTGATGAAGTTTCTGTCCATTGACCTTGGCATACTTTGATAAAGGTTTGCAGCTGCACAGAGAAAAGAAAGCTAAGCAAGAAATAGAAACCTAAGCAAGAATGTACTCTCCCCACTCCTCAGTTTATACAATGCTAGTTTTACCACCTCCAGCTCGCTTCCCATACTTGTCCCCCCTCCTCCTCCCATTACTTATGGCAGCCGAAAGATGCAAAGCAGAAATAGAAGATCTTGAAGGCTGACATTCGGTCCTCCTAGAAAAAAGATGTTAGTCCTATAAGAGAAGGAAATATAAAAGATACTAATTAATAATCAGGTACACAAAGTGGACACATTTCTAGGGTTTATCAGGATACTTGGTACGAAAGGCTTTGATCAGCTATGGGGCTCTAACATCTTTTTTGTTGACCCACTCAGCTTGGGAAGAAGGGAAGTGCTTCCAAGCAACCAAATATTGGAGCCAACCCCTCCATTTGCAAGAATCCAGAATTTCTTTAACTTCAAAATGTTGTTCACCCTCAATCATCAATGTTATAGGAGGATCAGTCTGGGTTGGTCTCAGATTGGAAGTATGTTCAGGTTTTAACAAACTAACATGGAAGACCGGGTGAATTCGTAGAAGAGTTTTGGGTAATTTCAGCTTGTTGGGTATAACATTGATACACCAACTAAGTTTGGGTGAATAAATATATAAA